GTCGTTTGAATAGCGCGTTTTTGCAGAGATGGGAGAAGGTACGAAGTTTGTCGCGAGATCTTTTTAGTTATGAAAAAGTTATACCTATACATGACTGAGTATATCCTTTAGTTGTTTACTCTCTTTATTCCTTTTACTACTTTTAGTTATAAAGTGAGAGTGAGGGTAATAGTTCTGATATGCATGAAACAGAAAAGTAAAGGGAGCAAAAGGAGTCAAGAGAGTAAAGGGAATAAAAGAGTAAAGGGTGTAAGAGACTCAAGGTAGTAAAACACTTAAGGGGCTAAAAGTGTGACAGATATAAAAGTACGCAACTATAATAAGACTAATGAGCTAAAATGAGAGCTGTGGCCTTGTATGTAAGCTAAAAACATCTCGGGACAAACTTCGTACCATCTCCCAGCCCTCCGTTTTTGAGCAACATATAAGGAAAAGGTGGACGCTATTGATTTTAACAGCATCTGTTCTATATTCACCGCGAAGAATGAACAGAGAAAACTGAGTTTTGGTACTTTTAATTCTTTCTGTGTCCTACTGATTTATTCTGGTGTTTCTGACGTTAAACAAGAAGGTTTATATTCGGCCTGACCCTTCGATATAAGCTTTCAATGCAATCCCTACGGGATCAAAATGTGAAACACGATGGAGTCGCTTTAATCGTACAGGAAGACTCCCTCTCTATTGATTACAATCCATGATAAAAACAAAGGAGCAGCGTGTCGATATGTCTATCACGGTCTCTGACAGGAGTCACAAGACCACATTGAAAGGCGGAAAACAAATGTATTGGACTTCTGGATTTCAAATCCATCTATAATCCAAAAAATGCATTTATAATCCGAAATACCGAGGTCTAAGCATCTAGAATAGCATGCCGACATGTTTCTCATGATTTGTGCTCGAGGCCAGGGGATGCTATATGCTTCAACATTAGCAATCGTGTTTCACAAAAGTACGCTGAAGTGGAGAAAAAATACTATGAGCCTCACCTAGCTTCATGACGCTCCGCCGCCTTTGTCTCATCTGCAACCGATATACAACTAGATTCATCTTTCGATATATTGCCCGATGAATCGGGTTAAAATCGCTACTAGATACATAACTAGATACATCTAGAAAAGAATCGGCTGTATCTAGATGTATCGGCCGATAACCCGATTCAACTTTTTCTCTTTTTTACGTATCTAGCTGCATCGGGCGATACCCGATACATTTTTCATGCTTGGGTATTTTTATACGAATTCAATAATAAGAGTAATACTGGGATGTCATTTGTGACAACATTAAATTTTTCATGAATTCTTCAACAAGTTAACACTAGTAACAATGATGGCACAGAGCTATACGGCTGGGTACTATGTCGTATATTTGTATTTCTTTTCTTTTAGTAAATCATCATGCAATGATTATGCAAAGTCTAAAACTGATATAACAGAAACACTGCCTTAGTTAATGAACAAGTTGACGTAGTTAACTACGATGACAATAATATAGTATTTTCGTTTGTCTTTACGATATAATTACGATAATTTGGTAATCTGAAGGCATATAAACCATTTTTGGTTCAAACAAAACTAATTGATACTTTGAGCTGATTGAACTTTTTGCTTCAATGAAATAAGTCTAGTTTGTGTATTTATCAACTAATTCATACTGTTTTTTAACATATTTCTATGCTTGTTGTACATTAGCAAGCTATTAATCTTTTTCTTTTTTCCCACAATATACCGAAGGAAACACGATTGTATACTTGATGTAACATTTTTGTTTTAAAACATACGAATGATAACAGAAAAGAAAAGAAGAAAACTTCAAGAGATAAAACAGATGTGTAAAATAGAAACAACGAAACGAAAAATGAAATAACTCTCATCTAACAAACTGCAAAAATACACACTTCGTACTTTGAAAAACAACAGTAAATTACAAGTGACACCCATCGTCCGGTTACTCAATCCTTGACAGAAAAGCTTGACTCCGATGAATTGAACAACCGCTCAAGCTTCTCTAGAAGTGACCTTTGCGATGGTGTTCAAGCAGGAATGTTTCACTCATGACTTAAACTTGAAGAATGCTATAAGCATCTTTTCCCTTATGAGCTTCCTGTCATCGTGTCATAGTGTTTCGAGTTCACTGCTACAACTGCTACTCTCCAAGCACTTTGAAAGAGGGGTACTTTTTAATGCATTTCTCGATGATCTCTGAGGGTTACGAGAAATTCCTTCACTCGCTCCACTCGTCTCGGCGCTAGTTGAGTATCGATGAAAGATTTGTTCATCGAAGAAAAAAACATAACATACACTGAGAAACCAAGCTCTCATATACAATTTCGAAAATGCAGGCGTATAATGCAGAGAAGGAAACGCCGGTACTGTGGCAAAATCAGTCGGAGAAGGTATGTCTTCAATTTAATATGTGCTTACATTATTATGCGCACGCCAGACAGCTTTTATATAACCCGATACTTTGAGTCAAGACAACATGTATGACTTTGTTTGAGTAATAAACAAGAACAACTGGACTTTTATTTGATTAGATAACTGAATTGTATTTTTTTTATAATAAGAAAAAGCAAAAATACGCTTTATTTTCTCAGTTTGCAAGCACATAAAATAGTAATGCCGACACCAACTACGAATAAAATACAGCCAATGACAATACCGACAACAGGACCAACTGTAATACTCTTTGATCCAGGCAATTGCACCTCTACGCCATATTCTATAAAGAAAGCAATACAGAGTCGCAAAGTAAATCAGCGACTGGAACAGATAATTATTCTAATCTTCTCCACACATTGAGAATTGATATCGATACAAGAGATCTCTATTTCTTGTCTTGATAAGAAGGTCGAGTTCATATTTGACATGAGTAAATTCACTTCTTTTATTTTATTTGATATTAATTAATTAATGACGTTTCGTATCTCGATGAGATACTTCTTCGGATATTAAATTTAAGACAAATGACTTAACATATAATAACTTAAAAATAAGAACAAACCAGATTATTTTCTTCTTCTTTTCTGTCTCAGTCATTCTTTGATAGTGATACGGAAAACAAGACGGTAATAGCTATATCTAGATAGGGATTTAATCCTTTTCCGTATCAATTTCTTCTTTTGTGGGTCTTTTCCAATACTCTTTTTCTTCATCAATAACAAATGCATCATTTGTATCAAATAAACACTGAAATTTCTTTTCTTGAAAATGTTTGACTATTTCTGAATTACTATCATTTTTATTATCATTTATTGTTTTTGAATGTTGTTTCATACGATTATCTATACCAACTTTAGTTTGACCAACATACGTTTGTTTGCTTGAACAAGAAATTTGGTAAACAACAGATTTTAATGGAGTTTGTAATGATCGATTGAGCTGTGATTGTAATTTGTATGGATAAGAAAAATATAATTTGATTTTTAATTTCTTCTCAAGTCTTCGTTTTAGCACTTCCATACCAGGACCATATGGTAACGATAAACTACATTTCATTTCTTCATTTTCAATGTTCTGACTTGATATATTGTTGTTATTGTTATCATTGTTATCGTTTCTATTTGACTTACATTCTTCACATGCTTGTCTTATTAATTTTTCAATATCTTTTAATGGATAATTTGAATTTAATAACATGCTTTTTAATTTATTTAAATTTTCTTTTTGATGATGATCATCCTGTGTTGTTTCTAAAATTCTTGTAGTCAAGATAGTATTACGGAAAAGGATTAAATCCCTATCTAGCTACAACTATTACCGTCTTGTATTCCGTATCACTAACCGCAGCATTAAAGAATGCATACAAAAAAATGGTTCAAGAGATCTGTATTTGTCGCACTGGCTCACAGAAACCGAAGTACTCTTGCAGCGTTGAGTGATTTGTCTTATCGTACTACATTCCGAATAGAAAAGAAGCTTTATTTATGAAATCAATTATCTTTTCCTTAAAATACGAAGAAATCAATCTTTGCAAACATACTGTTTGACGTCGTCACGCTTGTTACTATTGAGACGGTAGTAGCGGCTTGGGCTGTGGTCGTAAGTGCTACGAAGAAAATAAATAAATATTTGTCAAACTAGAATCAAAAAATAATTTGTTTTATCGGGACATACCTGGGCATATGGATTCATTAGCATATGACAAGGGATAACAAACAGGCCCACAACAAGTATTAGTAACACAAACTGAATCATTTGCCGCACACGTCAAATTCGTAGCACAAGAATTCTTATGCAGTGATTTCTATATAGAAAAAGAACGAAAAACAAAAACTTCTGACGCAAATCTTTTTAAAAGAAAGTTTCTTAACACTGTCTTGCCCCGGCCAATAGTACTTTTGGAAATAATTAGAATTTAATGCAAACTAATTTAAAACAGTCCCGTATCAAATTAGTGCGCATTCATTTTTTTCTGATTCCAAGTCCAATCGAATTTAATTAAATTGATAAATTAATTCGAACTGGTTAAAATTGAATGGGTTTGAATTAATTTATGAAGTTAAATTAATTCGAATTGATTCTTAATCTTATCTACTAATCTTATCACTAATTTAATATGCGACTTTTTTAAATTAGTTTGCATTAGTGTCTAATTATTTCTAAAGTTGTCCATCAGAACCGTCAGGTTTAACGAAATGCTAGGAAGGATTAAGGTGGATAAGGAACTGATTTTGAGACTGATTGAGTGACTGAAGAAATTGTTTGTTTTCGGCGTAGTTCCGGCGGTATTCCATTTACTAATGCTATTAGTTATTCTCATTTTATTTTATTTTATTTTTAGTGTTTTCTATTGTCTGTACCGCAATCGAATGGACTTCGTTGTGTTTTGAATAACTTTCGATAGGAATGAGATAGAGATCTCCGACTCTGTTGCGACTCATGTTGCTAAGACCTTAAGATATGTTTT